CAAAGCGACGCCGTTGCTGAGACTTGGAGTTAACCGTTGAGTGGGCTTTTACTGGACGAATGATGAATCGCCACCTGACGTTTTACAATTACTGTAATTTGAATTTCTGTTTTACATTTTCTGTTTCCTCTGTTTTGTAACGTGAAGAATACATTTCTGGTTTTGGTATAAATAGAAAGTGCAGGAGATCCCTTGCTCTTTGCGCATTTCCCACCTTTGTGTGCCGTCGTCTTCCTCCTCTAACCCTAGCTGTAGCTAGTTTGATATGGTATCAGAGCGGTTGCTTATCCAGTAACCTGCAATGGCGACGACACCACCTCCAAACACACCTCCGGGAGGCATCCCTTTCGGCTCGTTCTCAGGCAACACGAGTGGAGGTTCCAACGTCAACAACGATCGCCCAGATCCCCAATTCGGTAACCCTTTCTACATTAACCCCAATGAGAACATCTCTCAGGCCATCGTTTCAGAGGTTCTCGATGGACCCAACTACCAGATGCGGCAGCGAGCCATGAGAATGGCTTTGAAGACCAAACACAAAATTGGTTTTATAGATGGATCGATTCCATCTCCGGGAGTAGCTAGTCCGAATTTCAGTACATGGGATGCTTGCAATACACTTGTTTTATGCTGGATCTTGAATTCTGTTGACAAGGAGATTAGGAGAAGTGTGATGCAGCATGATGTAGCTCGTGATTTGTGGGAAGAGCTTAAGGCTCGGTTTGGGTATGCAAATGCCATTAAGCTGTCAAACCTGGGAGACCAAATTATTGCTTGTAAGCAGGGAAACCTCAACGTTACTCAGTATTACACTGCCTTGAAAGGTTTGTGGGAAGAGCATTTGCAATTCAATCCCATCGTTGACTGTAATTGTGCTCCACAGAGGACACAACCATGTGCAGCAGTTGAGGCATTTAAGCAGAAGCAGGAAGTTGATTACCTTATTAGGTTCTTGAAGGGCCTTCGGCCAGAATTTGATGTGGTTCACACACAAATTCTGATGATGAAACCACTTCCCACAGTAGAAGTTGCAATTAATGATGTGTTGCAGCATGAACAAAAATTGAAGGCTGATAAGGGTATTACAAGAGGTGTGCAAACAGTGGCTCTGGCTGTTCCTGGAGAAGACCAAGATGGAAAGAAGTTTTTCCGTTACTGTAAGAAAGAGGGTCATGTGAAGGATGAATGCTGGAAGCTAAAGAACAAGAAACTCAGAATGTCATGAGGAGTTGCAGCTGCAGTTTCTCATGGGGAATCTTCTCATGACAGTGACATCTCAAGCTCAGACTCCAAACTCAACTCAGAGTCTAGGAGTGTCTCTTCCAAGGAGAATTTGAGTTTCTCATCTGAGGAACTTAGCAAGCTGAGATATTTGCTGCAGAGTGTTCCTTCTCCTAGTCCCTCTCCACCAGCCTCACCTTCAATCAACCATCAGGCTTTCTTAGTCACTCATGGCATTACTCAGCTTCCTAACTATGCTGGTAAGTTTATCTTATCTTCTTTCAAACAGCAAAGAGCAGAATCACTTGTTCATACCTGGATACTAGATACTGGGGCTTCTGATCACATAGCCTGCAGTATTGCTTTGTTCACTGAAGCTGTACCTGTCAATGATCAGTTTGTTAATTTGCCTAATGGCACAAAGGTAGTGGTTAGTCACATAGGAAAGGTTCAATTATCTCCTGACCTAGCCTTAGACAATGTCCTACTTGTGCCAAGTTTCACATTTAACCTCATATCAGTTAGCAAATTGACTAATGACCAACCTATATCCTTACACTTTGAATCTGATTCTTGTTAAATTCAGGACCTGGTGACCCAGAAAAGGACTGGTTTGGCAAGACAGAGCAGAGGATTATATCAGTTACACACCAAGAACAAAGCTTCCATCCTACCTGTCCCACAAGCAGCCTTCTCATACAACTTTCAACCACAAAACATATCCCTCTGGCACTGGAGACTAGGACATCCCAGCAAGGAAAAGGAGAAACAAACTATCCCTTGTAATAGTGATGTAGTTTCTCATTGTCAGATTTGCCATTTTGCTAAACACAAACGTCTTTCCTTCCCTGTTAGCACTAGTAGAGCACTAGATATGCTTTTGAATTGATTCATGTAGACATCTGGGGGCCACTGGCTGTGAAGTCTTATGATGGATTTTCCTACTTTCTGACTTTGGTTGATGATTACTCTAGAGCTGTGTGGGTGTTTTTAATGAAATTGAAATCTGAAGCTGGTCTTTTGTTGCAATCTTTTTGCACCATGGTTGAAAGACAGTTTAGTAAACAGGTTAAGATCATTAGAAGTGATCAAGGTTCTGAATTCCACATGGCTGAGTTTTACAGTACTCATGGTATTATACATCAGCAGTCTTGTGTTGAAACCCCTGAGCAAAATGCTAGGGTTGAGAGGAAGCATCAGCATATCCTCAATGTAGCCAGATCCCTTAGATTTCAATCTGGTATCCCCCTCAGGTTTTGGAGTGATTGCATCCTACATGCTGTTTACTTGATAAACAGACTTCCAACCTCGGTTCTAGCTGATAAATCACCCTATGAGATTCTCTATTCAAAACCACCAATTCTAAATGGCTTGAAGGTATTTGGTTCACTGTGTTATGCTTCCACCTTGCATAGGGACAGGACTAAATTTGATTCTAGGGCCAAACAGTGCATTTTCCTTGGCTACCCTAGTGGTATTAAGGGTTTCAAGCTGTTTGACCTGAATTCTCAATCCACATTTGTTTCCAGAGATGTGGTCTTTTATGAATCCATCTTACCCTTCAATTCTCCTACTCATACACCTGATCCTCCTATACCAGATCCCATTTTTCCTCACTGTCCATCCATTCCCCTTACTGATACTTCTCTCCCATCTACCTCATCTCCTCATCAGCCTGCCAACTCTTCTTCTACTTCCATACCTATCTTTTCCCCTTCTGTTCATTCTTCTTCTACTGATCCAATCCCACCAGCAAGTTCTTTGGACAGCAATGTCAGTTTGCATTCTGAGGGGGAGGATATGGAGATTGAGGTCTTCCCTGATCTTCATGACACAGATGAGGCTGAGTTCTTAAGAAAGTCCAAAAGACAGAATACCAAACCAGTCTGGCACAAAGATTACCATGTCAGTCTGGTGGTAGCTTCCAGTTCTAAACATCATGTTGCTTATCAGGTTAGTTATGAACATTTGACTCCTTCTCAGAAAGCATTTGCTCTCAATGTGTTGTCTATAGAAGAACCTACTTCCTATGCTGAGGCATGTAAGGATCCTAGGTGGAACCAGGCTTGCAAGGAAGAGATTTTTGCTTTGTATGAAAACCAGACATAGGAAGTTGTTAAACTACCAGCAGGAAAGAAGCCTATAGGTGCTAAGTGGGTTTTCAAGGTTAAATATAGGTCTGATGGTGCTATTGAAAGGTTTAAAGCACGTTTAGTGGCAAAAGGCTACACACAGATCTATGGAATAGACTTCCTTGACACTTATTCACCAGTTGCAAAAATCAATTCAGTTAAGACATTGTTGGCAGTAGTAGCTTCCAAAGATTGGCACATCCACCAGATGGATGTGTCCAATGCTTTTCTCCATGGAGATTTAGATGAAGAGGTTTACCTTGAGATTCCCCATGGTGTTGATGTTCCTAAGAACTCAGGACTGGTTTTCAAACTTAAAAAATCTTTATATGGATTGAAGCAAGCAAGCAGGCAGTGGTTTGCAGAACTCACTGCTGCTTTACTGAAGAATGGTTACTCACAAACAGCTTCAGATTATTCAATGTTTGTGAGATGGATACAGGGAAGAGTAGTGGTTGTTCTTGTGTATGTTGATGACATCTTAATTGCAGGAAGTTATCTTGGAGATATTGAACAGTTGAAACTGTTTTTGAGTAAGGAATTTAAGGTCAAAGACCTTGGGCAGATGAGTTATTTCTTGGGTCTGGAAGTGATCAGAGATCACAAGGGAATCTCAGTCAGTCAAAGGAAATACTGCATGGAGTTACTTGATGACACAGGCTTTGTAGAAGCTAAGGGATGTTTGTCACATGTAGACTGCAATTCAAAATTCTCAGCAGAACAGGGAGAACTCTTACCAGATCCTAGTGTCTACAGGAGATTAATAGGCAAGTTACACTACTTAACAATCACAAGACCAGACATTACCTATGCTGTGCAGCAACTAGCACAGTTTCAGACAGCACCCTGTGTTGAACATTTACAAGCTGCTCACAGGGTGATTAGATATTTGAAACAGACTATTGGTCAAGGTCTGATTTTCAGAGCAGACTCAAAGCTGGAATTATCTGGTTTTTGTGATGCTGATTGGGCAAGTTGCCCTGATTCCAGGAGGTCTCTTACTGGTTATTGTACCTTCCTAGGAACTTCACTGATCACGTGGAAGACAAAGAAACAGACCACTGTTTCTAGATCCTCCTCAGAAGCAGAATACAGAGCCCTTGCACAGGTTGTTTGTGAAGTGCAATGGTTGAGGAATTTACTATCTGAGATGGGTGTTAAGGTACCATTGCCTATTCCACTTTACTGTGATAATAAGTCTGCTTTACACATTGCTGAAAACCCAGTTTTTCACGAACGAACAAAACACATAGAGATCGATTGCCATGTTACAAGGGAGAGGATTAAATTTGGTTTGATCAAGCTTTATCATGTGAGAACTGATGATCAGGTTGCAGACTTATTCACAAAAGGGATGACTCGTTATAGACTGAAGTTTTTATTGGACAAGCTGGGAGTAAGCAATGCATACTCATCAGCTTGTGGGGGAGTATCAACCGAGGAAGATGATGATCAGAACCAGCAGAGCTGAAGTGCAGAAGATTGAAGTGAAGCAGAGGAAAGCCAACCCAGAAACGAAACGTTTCGGGGTTCCCTCCACTCAACTAAAGACGAAGAGACAAAGCGACGCCGTTGCTGAGACTTGGAGTTAACCGTTGAGTGGGCTTTTACTGGACGAATGATGAATCGCCACCTGGCGTTTTACAATTACTGTAATTTGAATTTCTGTTTTACATTTTCTGTTTCCTCTGTTTTGTAACGTGAAGAATACATTTCTGGTTTTGGTATAAATAGAAAGTGCAGGAGATCCCTTGCTTTTTGCGCATTTCCCACCTTTGTGTGCCGTCGTCTTCCTCCTCTAACCCTAGCTGTAGCTAGTTTGATAGGAAACCCAACGAAAAGATCGAGATCAGCGGCACTGCTACAAGGCAGACTGACCTCATCCAAATGCAAAACCCTCAACGAGCTGAAACCATCGAATCCCGTCCCCAAACGTGCGGCCCTCAACTCTAGCGTTGTGAGATTGCTATTATCAGCCAAGGGGGCAAGGAAATAGGGTTGGAGATCTGTGACTGCAGTAACAAACAACTCTCGACAACGGCGAGAAGCAGCAAATTGTATGAACTTGTGGAGCGGCTCCGTGTTCCCCGAGAATTCCAAGTCGCAGTAGTTTATCTCGTCGACGTTGCTGCCGTCGGGGCGGGCGGACAAGAGTGCGTCCACATACCTGGCGAAAGTTGAAGCAATGGTGGACAAATTGGCGCGGAGGGTGAGCCGGGGAACGTGCTCCCACAGGGGTCTCCATCTCCTGGAGAGGACGGAGGTTTGGACGGAGAATCGGCTTTCAACTATGAAGGAGAGGAGGTGGTGAAGAACGTGGTCGGGAAGACTGCTCAATCGGTCGACGGCGTCAGTTTGTTGCTGGTCCGGTTTTCCTTCGCTGCGAATCTTCTTATTAGGGTTTTGGATAGACATCCTTGATCTGCGGTGCTTTTTCTGGATGCAGATTATGTCCCAATGCAGGAACACAGATCGGTAGCTGCGATGTTTTGCTCGCGCAACTATTAAAACCCAGCGGGAGAATCGCAGTCTCCAAGGGTTTTATATATAGGTGTCAATCGTGCGGGTTCGGACGGGTTCGGGCTGGGTTCAATCGGGTTGCGGGTTAGCCGGGTTGCGGGTTCAGCGGGTTGCGGGTTCGCCAGGTCGGGTTCAATCGGGTTCGGGTTCAATCGGGTTGCGGGTTGATCGGGTTCGGGTTCAATCGGGTTGCGGGCGGATTGGGTTGCGGGTTGTTCGGGTCAACGCATCAAGTTACTTATTTAAAATATTTATCACAATTTTTAACCAATTTCTTTCTACCTCATATATATACTTAATTAAAAAAAACTAGTCAAAATGTTAAATCAATTTGTATGATTTGCAAACTTGTCATGTAATTAATCGTAACTAGTAAAGTTCACTAGCCAATAGTTTTGGTGATATCAACATTTGTAATCAATACATTATTAACAAACCATACTTAATTAAAAAAAACTAGTCAAAAGGTTGAATCAATTTGTATGACTTGCAAACTTGTCATGTAATTAATCGTAACTGGTAAAGTTCACTAGCCAATAGTAATGGTGATATCAACATTTGTAATCAATACATTATTAACAAACCATACATTCAGTAAATAAAACACTACTCTAAAAGCAAAGAAGAAAAACAATTTTCCTAACTCAACATTTTTGTGCAGCAATATAGAGTAACCCAAAAAAAATTTGGGCGCCAATATAGATCAATCCAAACGAAAATTGGAAGGCCTTTTGGAGCGGGAATGAAGAAATTGGCGGCAATATATATCAAGAAAAAATAAAATTGGACAACATTTTGCAACGAGAAGGGAAATGGGTAACAAAAAATACACATTTTGTTGTTAACCACAATAACAAATCTCTAAATACCCTCATCACAAACTGCACCACTATGGTTATTGGTAACCACTAACCGATGTGGTTCGGTGTGGTTAGTTTGTGGTTAACGCAAAAACCAATTTACCAAACTCATAAATTGATCTATATTTTTCTTATAAGTTTGTTATCAATAAAAAAATAAGAGAGATATGAAGGATAATATAAATGGTAAAAAATGAGAATCATATATCACATAAGGAAGATATATCAAATAAAATATGTACAAAATTAAAGCAATAAAATATATGAAGAAATCACAAAATATAAAAAACCGATAAAACTATTAAAGGGTAATCCAACATTAACAACAATTCACTATCAATCTTATTCAATAAGATCACAATAATTCAATAATTAGTAGAAGTTAGAATCTTTTATAACTAATTCAACAATATAACAAATAACTTATTAAAGTGCTAACTACTAAACTTAACCCTACTATAGACAATGTCTTAGTAACTAAATGCTAAACTCTTAACTCATAACGTTGGTTAAACAACCGACACAATTACGTTGGTTTTTCACCTATACAAAATGAAATTTCTTTTTTTTTTAAATTACTTTCACATTTCACATTATTAGTCAAACTTAAAATTTATTTTTTTAGAGGTTTCACAATCACCATTCACCGCCCAACATTTCATCATCACCCGCTCACCACAATTGAAATTTGAAATCCCGCCTTTCCACCACAACTAAAATTGGGCCGCCCATGATTTCATCGTCACCCGCCCACTACAATTACACAAAAAACACAAAACCCTTCCCTTTGCTTGCAAAAAATTGGGCGGCCAAAATTTCATCATCACCCACCCAAAATTAATTCTTACCCTGTCAACTTTAGGACTACAAACGAGTCGAGCTGAGCTAAGCTATAACTCAGCTCGTCACAAATTATATGAAGAACTCAACAATAACTCATAAATGAGTTCAGCGAGCCTAACAGAATGAGCCCAACTAATTTTAAACTTCGCTTCATACGGGCTTTGACAGCCCAAAAAATATTTCATTGGCTACATAAGTAGCCCATTTGGATCCGAAGAGGAAGCAAACTGGCAGCCCATTTCGCAAGGCCACTTGTTCGAGTTGCAAATCCCACTAGTTTTTTATAACTGGATGAAAACATGGCATCTATATTGGCCACCGATGTGGTACAAAAGATACAGAAAAGGCATAAAAATAAACTAGTTCCTCGACCGGGTTTGAGGGGAAGGATGTTTTGAAGCTGATTGCTGCTGGCATGGAGAAGCTGGCAACCGTGCGCCAAGTGGTGGAGGCACTAATGTTGTGCAGCTGCTGCTGCAGCTCCGACAAAGGAGTAGAATGAGGAGTCCGATGGGGTGAGTTTCCTTTTATAGTCCTATTATGCTTTAGCATTATCAAGATATCTAACTTGAATTGGCGTCCAGCTTATGATATTGGTTTTGCGCATTTGATGTAGACATGGAACTGGAGCTGCTTGAGCCCTGTTATAAGCTATCAGCTTTTCGTGGCAGAATAGGCTTTGTAGAAAGTGTATGGACGTTGGGAAACATTGATGAGATCATGATGCCCGAAGGTGACAGTAATAGGAATTTCATGCTAGTTGACACAAAAATTAGAGAATTTGGAGTCTAGCAATGAGAAATAGTCATGTTATAAGAACTGAACCGGATTCACGGCTGGTCCAGTAGAACCATCAAATCAGTTACAATAGCGGTCCTATTCATTGTTTGGACGGTTAGTGTTATATACAAGTCTTGTATGTTATATATCATCAACGATTTATCAATGGTTTTGTAACGGTTAACCACTAAACTCTAAACCTCTAATTTTAGTAAAATTATTGTGACTTCAATCATAACTTACTCAATAACATATATCCTATAAACTTATCAAATACATTACTTTACTTTATTTATATTAAATTGATAATTTTATTGAATAGTTAAATTAATCAAAATTTTAATTTATATATTATGTTAATATTGTCCATGATCTCAATTATTAATTCTTTATTATTAATATTGACATTATGTTGATTTTATATTTACTTTTTAATTTTGTTAAAGAACTTAGTGTTCAAGTGACCTTCATATTCAAGTGAGTTTCATATTTTTTAAAATCCTTATACGAAATGAAAAATAATTTTACCTAAGTTTAGAATGAAAAACTTTATTTTGAAAAATGATGTATTATATATCATAATAATTATTCAAGTGGATTAGGTGAAGTTCGGGTTGATTCGGTCGGGTTACGGGTTAGTCGGATTCGGGTCAATCGGGTTCGGGTTAATCGGGTTGTGGGTCAGTTGGATTGTGGGTCAATCGGGTTCGGGTTAATCAGGTTGCGGGTCAGTCGGGTTGCAGGTTAGTCGGGTTGCGGGTCAATCGGGTTGCGGGTCGGGCGGGTTACGGGTTATTGACTTTTAGTCAATTCGGGTTGCGGTAGGGTTACAGGTCGGGTTGATCGGACGGGTTAATCGGGTCGGGCTATGTTTTGACACCTATAGTTTTATACCAAATGAGTGAAAATCAAGGTTATCAACCCGCTCTTAGTTTGGTCTGCCTTATGTTTGTGGGTTGGTTTGGTTGGCTGCTGGGCTGGCTTTGTAGGTTCTGGCGGTTTGTTTTTGGGCCCTGTATTTTTTTTTTTTTTACGAAAGGCAAAGCTTTTCCATTACTTGCGGCAGAAGCCAGAGGGTTACAAAAGATGGAAAATAACATTGAGGACCTGAACCCAGTGAATAGGCAACATGTTTTTTGATCTTGACCGAGAAACCCAGTTGGCTTTCGAGTTAAAATTCCTTTTGATGTGGCTGATCTTGATCAAAGGGTGCTCTTCGAGGGTCTTCTTGATGTTGCCGAGCCACGCTGCCGCTCGCCAGGGCCAGCACTTCTGGTGCCCATGGATCGCTTTGACCAAGCCAAGGCTATCAGAGCGGACCAAGCATGGACTGTGGAAGCTGGCAGCAAGGAGGGTTCCTTCCAGTAACGCTTTTGCTTCTGCTTCAAGTGGGGAAAAACAGTGCAGGGGTTCGGCTAACCCATCACAAACTTGACCATGGGCATTCGTGACAACAACGCCATAAGCCGCCTCCTGTGATTCTTCAAAGAATGAACCATCACAGTGTATCTCAAAATCATGAGTACTTGGCGGTGGAGGAGGTTGATCCGGGGGTGAAGCTAACGTAGGAGGAGGTGGTGCTGAGGGCAGTTTCCTAGGACATGTGATCCAAGGAAATCGTGGATGGGGGCCAGGGGGTTTTGCTCATGAAAATGTGCTCATTTCTCGTTCTCCAAGTCTGCCACATGAGGAAGATAATTTTTTGGATTGAGCCAATGGGGTACCTGGCGAGCAGGGAATCGAGCCACTCCAAGATGGGGGTGAGTGGGGGAGGAACAGCCAGTGAAGGCCACTCTTGCATCCACCCTGTTGCCGCGTGGGGGCAGGTGAAGAGGATGTGGTGGATCGACTCTGTTACCTCCGCACAAAGAGGGCATGCCTTGGTCGCAAAGCAACTCCTAGAGTGTAGGTTTTCTTTCGACGCCAGGGCCCCTCTAGTGCACTTCCACACAAAGAACTTTAGCTTCGGAGGAAGGGAAAGGCTCCAAAGCCACTTCCATCTCTCTTTATTCGATGTTGATGCTGTCTGTTGACCCTGTTCCAAACGGATTTGATCGTGGAAGAGGTGAAAAGCCGATTTAACCAAAAAATCACCATCCTCTGTGAATCTCCATGCCCTGAAATCCTCAAGGGATTCAGGGCCAATGGGGGTGGCAGCAACCTACATTAGATCCAGTGGACTGAGGTAATCAACGAGGAGGTCAAACCTCCATGATCTATTGATCCCATCAATCCATTGGTCCACAGTCGAAATATTAGGCCATTCAAACTGGAGGAGCGGGCCTGCCCTATCAAATCTCCATAGATCTTGGAACATCCTAGTGGATTCCCCATTGTCAATTACCCTAATAACTCCCTGTTTCATCCATTTTTTGGCTTCCCACAAGCTCGCCCAGATCCATGAGGCTTTGC